GGAATCATACCTATGACTTTGGCATTGCTAACATCTTACTCTAAAAATTGTAATGTATGAGTATTTACATATTTCAAACAACATTTCGGTAACCGCAAAAGTAACACTAACAGTCATGTTCCTTTAATGAGATTTCTGTTCAAATGCTTTCTCTTAGGATCTGTATTGGACATACATTGACTAAATATAAGTACCATCATTATTTATCACTTTATTGGATACAACAAGTAGTATATGACAAATACAAGTTTCAATATTTGATGTTTGGCTAACTGCTAGGGCTGGCTCAAGACAATGTGAGTGTGTGAAATGAATTGACAACGAACATACTGCACCCTGACAAATAATGACAGGGCTCCTTTTTGAGCAATGTTGCCGTCAGACCGGTAAGACACAGGGCCCACAACCGATCTAAAGAAAGCTGTTGCCCATTCTCAATGGGGATGTGCCCAAGCAACATTGCTCAAGAAAGTTGCCCCATGTATCATTAACTTTTAAGTCGTTGAATTATTACCTGGAGGAACATTCCCATCAACCAAGCATGTTAAAATGTCATTGTTCGGCTAACACTAGTTGATGTTGATTCAGGAACACATCCTGGGTAAATCATGTTGAGCACACACACACGCAAACACTCTCAACATCTGAATCACAGTCTCTCATTGTTGTAACTTGACGGATCACTAGAAAGAATCTTGACTGTCAAGTTTGTAAATCTACCCCAAACAACACCTTGTCTCAATCCTTCCCTTGCGAAAAAGAAGAGTGCTTAATTGTATTGGAATGTGCACTTTCAAATCTTAAAAGTATATTTTTAAAAAACTCTACTTGCAGGTAATATTGAATAGTAATTCATAATTAATGAAATAAAGGTCACTTAACTGTATTGAAAGAGTGTACACTGTTTCTTAACACACTTAAGTAGATATTTTTAATCTGTAAGTTTCCAACCACGGCGCCTTCATTTTGATTTTGCAAGCGACAACGGTGTAGCAGCTCTAATGCCATGATGAAAGTTTGAGCAAAGCATGCTAACTGTTCTGTGTTTGGCTGCAGAGACGAGCACAGAACACTGTTTAGAGTCCCAGCCTCAGACGAGACGACAGAGCAGTGCATTTTATTTCTGTAATAAGTAGTCCTTTTAAAAGTATACTTCTTTTTTCTGTCTTTTTCTAATCTTATCTCTCTCTCCTTTCTCATTCCATGGCGATCACTAGCACTCAGTGCTGTGGTGTGGAATAATTAAACCATTCAGTGAGCAGGGCTTTCCTGTAAAATACAGCTACGCCTTCCTCATTTTGATAGGATGAGTGCTTTTCCATGGCACAAGTCCCACTGGCTGCTCTCTGAATGAACATGGAGGAGGTAGAGTGAAAGGTTGCACAATGATTTATTGCTGCATTTGCACCTAGATCCCAGTCAGATAACTCAAGTTCAATAAACTCCTCTCACATACACACACGCGTGGCTTTCTAAGACTTCAGGAACCGGAGCAGTTTCCCCTCCATGCGCCTGCAGATAGATTAGCATCCAGCTCAAAGCAGCAGCACATCAAAGGAAGCTTTGATGCTCAGTATGGCTGCACAGAGGGGCAGGTGAGGGAAAGGGTGGCCCCGTGCAGTCAACAAGGATTCTGGGAAATACTCCCAGCTTTTAGAGCTGGAGGAATCTATAGGCTTCTCGGAGTGGGAGATAGATGCAGAGGCTGGGAAAAGGGGGAAACCTGCAGCTTTATTCGAGATGAAAAAGCGCCGAGGGTGGCCGTGTGCTCTGGAGGTTCAGTGGTTTGACTGGGACCATATGGAAGGCTATTCATGTCAATGAAATGATGAATAGACGATTATTCAAGCTTAGTACCTGGTATTTGCTTTATAGCGGTGATCATTCAAAGCACAAACCGAGAAATGAATGTCAAATCGTACCTATTGCACAATATGATTATTATTTAATTAACACTTCCAAGGTGTAATTGCTCAAAAGTGTGAAACGCAGCTCAAGAGAACTCTGTGTGTTAATCAGTGTAGTCTGTCAGTTGTTGCCTCTGTCTAGATTATTATGTTTAATTATTGCTTTTATTACATTCATTGTTAAATGCTCCACTAAAATATTTTTATGATCTTTCTTAGGAACTGGATGAAAAGCGTGATTTCAAACATGTCACATGTTTATTGCTTTTTATTGCTAGCATCTTAGCAAATGTACATCATGCAGGTATGTGTATCATGAAAAACCAGACCAAGATTTCCTCGTAAATCATAAAGAGAAGATCAACTTCTCAGATCTAGTCATGAACTTAACATCAAAGAAATATCGAGATACAGTGCATGTGTTACCAAATTAAACCATGCTGCTTGACTCAGTTTAATTTTACCATTTACTTTACCCAATGGATATACTGGTCCACCAATGTGACCAGCACCAAACGATGTGTAAATCAACATTTTCAAAATCAACTAGTCAGTGGGTTGTCAAACAGGTAGTACGTAGTTTTTTTTTTTTTTGACTGTAAACTTTAATTAACTTCTAACTAATTTAAATCAATATTTGGTATGAACACCCTCTGCCTTTAAAACAGCTTTTGTCCTCGGTACATTTGCACACAGTTTTTAAGGTAGAATTGCAGTTTATTTCTCCAAAGGTCTTGGAAATATTTCCACAGTTCTTAAAGGAATAGTTCACCCAAAAATGAAAATTCTGTCATTAATTACTCACCCCCATGTCGTTCCAAAAGTTGTTAATTGTAATGTTTTATCAGCTGTTTGGACTCTCGTTCTGATGAAAATGTCAATGGAAAAACATCTAACTCGCCAAAGACTTTAGCACAATGCTGTATTGTACACCCCTACATCAAACCAGAAGTAATTCATCTTGGCCTAAGCCGGTCATTTTTTTCAGCAGGGAGTGCTATTCCAAACATGCATGAGCCACCGTGTCTTGTGTGTGAACTGCTCATCTCCTGATGCTACTGTTGTGCAATAACTGTGTGTGTTTTTAGCCACCAACTGTTTGTGTCTGTACCCACCAAGAAATCACAGATGGCAATGACAAAGCATAATCAAAGAAAACAATGACAAAAAAGGTTTTCCTCTGGTTGGAAGCAATCAAGCATCCCCTGGCAGTTATTTGATCACAAAATAATTCAGGTAGCCCTGGCAGTGTTGTTTCAACACAGGGAATATGGCAGATACACTCCGACGATCCGCCCTGTTTTATGGGCGGCTGTTACAGCTTCTGCTGGCAAATATCCCCGAGAGCATGTGATAGTGTCTTGCCATTTTTAATTAATGCATAAGCCTGGCGATGTTAATTAAACCCAGACTGATCATTACCCACCAGGAAAGATCATAAGGATGCTTGTGCTGGCGGCCAACAAATGCTGAACTCAACTGAGGAGTTACTCTAATAATCATCCAGCTCAGGTGCAGTCTTTAGGGGCTTAAATAATTGGGGATTTTTAGGTAAATAACTGCTTGTTCAATTTATCTGGGGTTTGTTAAATATCATAATAAGGGAGCGTAAAGGGGCAGTTCACCCCTAAAAATTTGACAAAAAATCATTGAGTAAAATTGATTTAGTCACCCTCCTCATGTCATTCCAAACTTGCCATTTCATTTTTTTTTCTTCTGTGGAACACAAAATAATGTTGGTAACCAAAAGTGTATTTTGAAGAATGCTGGCAACGAAAAAGATATTTTGAAGAATGCTGGTAACCAAAAGTGTATTTTAAAGGATGTTTGTTAGCAAAAAAAAAAAAGACCAATGTTGGCAGCCAAACGTGTATTTTGATGATTGTTGGTAACAAAAAGTGTATTTTGAAGAATGCGTTTAACCAAAACGATATTTTGAAGAATGCTGGCAACAAAAAATATATTTTGAAGAATGTTGGTAACCAAAAGTGTATTTTGAAGAATGCTGCCAACGAAAAGTGTATTTTAAAGGATGTTGGTAACCAAAAGTGTATTTTAAAGGATGTTTGTTAGCAAAAAAAAAAAAGACCAATGTTGGCAGCCAAACGTGTATTTTGATGATTGTTGGTAACAAAAAGTGTATTTTGAAGAATGCGTTTAACCAAAACGATATTTTGAAGAATGCTGGCAACAAAAAATATATTTTGAAGAATGTTGGTAACCAAAAGTGTATTTTGAAGAATGCTGCCAACGAAAAGTGTATTTTAAAGGATGTTGGTAACCAAAAGTGTATTTTAAAGGATGTTTGTTAGCAAAAAAAAAAAGACCAATGTTGGCAGCCAAACGTGTATTTTGATGATTGTTGGTAACAAAAAGTGTATTTTGAAGAATGCGTTAAACCAAAAAGATATTTTGAAGAATGCTGGCAACGAAAAATATATTTTGAAGAATGTTGGTAACCAAAAGTGTATTTTTAAGAATGTTGGAAACCAAAAAGAAGTTTTTGAAGAATTTTGGTAAACAAACATTTTTGGGGCCCAATGACTTCCATGGTATTTTTCTCCATCAAAGGGTGGACATCAAAGGGACCTGAAACAGTTTGGTTATCAACATTCTTCAAAACACACTTTTGGTTACCAACATTCTTCAAAACACACTTTTGGTTACCAACATTCTTTAAAATATCTTTTGGTTACCAACATTCTTCAAAATATCTTCTTTCTGTTCCACAGAAGAAACAAAGTCATACAGGAGTGAATGATGATAGAATTTTCATTTTTGGGTGAACTATTCCTTTAAGGCCTATAAGTTAGAAAATCGATGAGTCAGAATTATTTGTGCATTGTTTCTTGACCCCATTCTATTTTTAACACACTTTTCATATTTTACACCTGCAGAGAGACTGCATATGCAGGCAACATTAATCTCGGGCAACATCCAACCGCAGAACGACATGTTTTTGTTGAAGCACAAAAGGCTTAGTTCACACCTCTTAAATACACTTAGCATGAACGTATGCAGAGGAAATTCTGAAAAACTGGTTCTCCTTTGGGTTTGCATTGATGAAAAATGAAAGACTGCAATATCACTTACTTCATAGGTTTGAACAGGGCTTGTCCGTAGTTCTGGAATGACATGATGAGCTTCAGCTGAGTGCCACCTGACTTCATTGCTGTGAAGGGAACATAATTGCTTTAACAACAGCCGACCAGCTTTCTAAAAATAAGACAATATGCACACGCACCCACACAAACTAACACAATCTTCTCTTCCAGCATTCATGCTAAATAGCTTTTGCTCTAACTTACACAAGCATGTATTAGCTGTGATGTTTTGCAGTCTTGTAAACAGCAGTGGTGATCTCTTAGTGCATTTTGTCAGACTGTCATCAAATGTCATGAATACATTCAGATTCCCACGAGTAGCTATGCAACCATCTGCTGTTCATGAGAGTCAAAGTGTTAAATGGTTGAAATATCAGTAAGGAGTTATGGTGCACATTTGTGAGTTACAGCAGTATGGCCGTCTCGGGGTACTTCAAATGAAGTGTTAGTGGCGTGACACTCATTTTTTCGTAATTCATTATAGTTATTATAGATAAAACCATTTTTTTATAATTCATTATAGTTATTATAGGTAAAACTAAAACAGTATTAAAAATACATTTTCATTACTAGAAATAAACAATAAAAAAAAGCTCAAAAGTATTTGATTTCAGATAGTTCCCAAGCAGTGTTGCCAAGTCTGCGGTTTTCCCGCGGAATCGGGCTACTTTCACACTGTTGCCGCGAGTTGAAGCGACCCCAATAACGTGATATTTAGCCCCTAAAATGTGAATTTTACCAGGGGAACCCCGCCAAAAAACATGTATTTTATCCCATGGAACGCAATTTTTATCGGAGACCCCCCTCGAAAAGCGATTGGGTGAGTTTTGTTGTGAAAATCTGGCAAACCTGTTGCCAAAGCAACATTTCTCATTTTAATTAAGTTGACCTTGATGCACTGTACTAACATAACCAAAACTGAAATAATAATAATAATAATAAATAAAAAACCTATAAAAAGACAATTAAAAATGACAAACCACAACTAAATTACTAAAACGTTAACTACAATTAAAATGGAAAATAAAAATCCTGTATTAATGTGCGTGTTACATTTTACTACTGTATACACTGATATAACTATTATTTTTATTATTGATAGCAGCATCTCTGTAGCCATGCTAATAAAATACAACTACCACTACAACTGATTTTAATTGTTTTCTATGTTCCAGACCTATATAATAACAGATAAAGCGCTCTTCTATTGTCTGATTCAACTGGACGTGTCAAGAAACTCTTCGCTGATTGGCTTGCGCGAGAATGCGTCATGCAAATTTTCCGCTGGAGTTGAAATTTTTGAACTTGTGCGAAAGACGCGATTGAGGCGAATATCATGCGCTTGCGTTTCACGTCATTCGCGTCGCCCGGCGCGAATTTGCCTCTATTCGCGTCTTTGCATTGACTTTGTATGTAATCTACTCGCGCGGAAAATTACATTTGCATCTGGTGTGAACACACTGTTACAGGTACGAGGGTGAGTAATTAATGACAGAATTTTCATTTTTGGGTGAACTATCCCTTTAATAATCTATTTTCAATAACCCTTAAAATGACTTGCTGTCAGGTTTATTAAATAATATTTTGAATTCAGATAAATCCAGTTCATCTAGATGTTACCACGTGAAGCACAGGGCATGTGAGGTTTGTAGTTATAGTTTCTGAAATCAGAGACTGTTTTATAAGAGCATCACAATACAGACGTCTCAAACTGCACAGGACTGGAAAAAATAAGTCGCATAAGATCTTCAGGTGGACTTTCAGAGTCTAATGGAGGAAGAGTAGCTGTCAATCACACTCTCTCTTGGGAATAAAAGGATGTGTGCGTGTGCCGCTTCTGCAATCATTCTGCCTACAGATCTGCATAATTAAGGGCGTGGCCACTTGAGTGACAGGTGGATTGCCGCTGCTGTCACCGGTGTCAAGCTAGGTGGGCGTGGTTTCAGCAACCTGCTCCCGCCTCTTTGCCCATTTTCGATTATCCGGGAGTGACGTGCTGCCAAGATGGCGACGGCCAGCTCCGCCCACTTTAGGCTTCAAAAACGCTCTTCGGAAATCTACGGGTGACGTCACGGACACTACATCCATGTTTTTCTATTGTAAATAGATCTGCAGTGTACTAGTGAATGTACCACGCGCATTCATAATAAACTAAAATACACTTTAACGTCATTTCTATTGAAACTCGTCATGTATTTAAATATAATTGTAATTACAGCTTTAATGATGAAGCTGCAATTTAGTACATTTAAATATCAAACACATACTAGTTAAAATTATAATCAAGTACTTCACATTTTAGCAATTTATTTTAAATAAATATACTTCATAAGACAAGACAAAAGATTATTAAAACAATGATTTAAACTGCACTTTAAGGTAAAACGTTTAATTTGACATTATTACAAAGTGCACCTTTTTAAAACTGTGCTAAAATCAGCACTCTCTTTTTAAGTACACTTAAGTAACCTTTTCTTTCAATGCTATAATTTAATTAATATGCTTCAAAATTCAGCTCCATCTGAGTTCAAATTACGCTGCATTTATCTAAAGAGCAGTATTTTATTTCATGTATTTCAATTGTTTTACATTTTATTTATTTCAATTGTATTAAACTAGACGCAATGAATTCCATTACTGAATTCAATCATGTAGTACAGCTTGAGGACAGTTCAAAACATTTAAATGAAGGTGAGCATGTTTGAATGTGTCAGAAAATACTGTGCTGACCGTGGACTGACTGAATGCATCAGCTGTACTTCATTCCCCTGAGGCCCCTGACCTGAACACACAAGCATGAGTTCAGTCTATTAAAACACTGTGTCCCATCAAAACATGCAAAGGAATATTAAACAGTAATCTGACAGCATCTGGATGACAAGCTCGTCACATGCATTTTCAGTGATCAACAAAACACTCTTAAAAAGGCCTTTTAACTCAATTACTCATGTTTCGCTCATCTGGATCTTGATCCGGATCAGAGGCGTGGTTAAAAAGGCATGTTTAGTTCATTCAGGCATGGTTAAAGGCAGTGAGAATAAGCTATCCCTGGAGCACGGGTGAAGAACAAAAAGAGAGGACACAGGAGCAAACAAAGGGCATGACACCAGCAACCCCCCCCCCAGCTTAATGCATCTGACAGCTCTGAAGAAAACAACACATCACACCAGAGGAACTTAGACGAGTCCTAGCAGCAAAGCTTTTAACACTCACGATGAGTCAAACGCACCCAAGCCACAGTATCTTTCCAAAGCACATGCCCTCTTATTTTTACCTCTAGATTTAAAAATACGTGTACTTCTCTCCTAAATGATTGCTTTTAATCTCTATTTCCATTGAGAATCTGACTTTCTTATGATAATTACTGACTCCGAATGAGACAATTATTTTTCTTAGCTCTGTTTCTAGTTTGTGCAGTCCTTAATTTCCCTGGTACTTTGGGATAAACACATTTTCATCATGTCTTCTGTATAAGGCACACACTGTGGGTTCTTGGCTATACAAAACTATACCGGGGCATGTCGTCACAATGGGTGGCAACACAAATATGATCTACTATCTAAAGTGAAAAAAGCAATTCTCCCCAGGATAGAGTATTTGACTTACTGCTCAGCTAAATTTAAACAGGAAACCACAAAATACAAAACAATTCATGAAACGGTACAAACCGTCCCAATTATCTTAATATGACATTTGTGTTTAAAACCAACATACAAAACCCACTGCATATTTTCTTTAATTGGATTTGTATAAATCTCATAGTTGTGACGACAACTAGAACCAGTCTCCATTCATCTTATAATTATGCAAATAACTGGGATATACATTTTTTTTATTTCACTTGCATAACAATATTTATGGCTTTTAAAGAAGCACTTTCAATTCTTCTTTCCCTGCTGCTTTGGGATAAAATACGAGCAATCACCTTCAGTGCTTTTCTTTATCTTTATATCTCTTTGGAACAAGCCGTCACATTATTATTATTTTTTTTAATTTTTTTTAAAGTTGGGAATGTTTCTCAGCACAGGTTTATTTTTTTTTCAAACTTATTTTGTCAACAAACAAAACCGTGTGAACCATTCAGCAAGGCATGCTGTCACACTAGGCTATATGTGGTTGTCACAATGGAACCTGCAGTTTACTGACACTGCTTTTAGAAAAACATCTTTGTTTGAAATCTGAAATCTTCTCCAAAGTAGCCTAATATATGTCATCACCCGATGGCACCCGGTCCTTTTTAATTACGCACATAACCGGGACTCCAAAGCGCATTTTTAAACATACAAACAGGTTTAAAGAAGCACTTGCCATTCTTGTTGCCCGGCAGCTTTGGGGTAGAGTCTGACATCACTGTTGAGGTTGAACAAGCTGTCATCTTCAGAGAGATGAGGCAGGTCGGGCTTATAGAGGGGATGCGCATAGAGCGCCTTCAGTCTGGAGGAACCCTGGATAGCTCTCTGCTTCTGTGCGCTCGCTGCATCTCTCATCAAAGCTCTCTCCTCCGAGCCCAGCTGCAGCTGTCTCACTCTCTTTTCAGACTCGGCTCTCTCCGTCACCTTCTCCAGTGAGTGCGAAGTGAGGTTGGAGTTGGGTTCATTGCTGAAATCCTGCAGTAATCTCAAAGAGTGTTTATTAGGCCAGCCCGGTTCGGCGGCGGCGGCGGCGGGGCGCTGTTTGGCCCAGGATCGCGGCTCCTCGCCCGGTGTGTGAGCGCAGGAGCAGCCGCCTCCACCTCCAGCGCTGGAGCTCGAGCCCGCCGCGCGCTTCTCCAGCTTGGGTAACAGGTCTATCATGATGTGCATGGTGCAGGCGACGAGAAACACCATTAAAATCAACACGCGAAATCTACGGAAGAGGATCATAATTCTACCTAATAAAGAGATGATAAAGAGACTCAGGGGCGCATGTGGTGTCCAACTGTAATCCTCGCTATGATGGGAGATGCATGTTCACAGCAGGATGCAGAAGAAGATACTCGCACCTATGTTTCCAGATGCGTCAAGGAAGATTTCTTTTCGGCATAGCTGCGTGTTTTATTTTCAGGTGAGGTTCAGACGTCCTGTCGCGTCCTTACAGGTTCGTGATAAAGCGCATGTCCCGGTAAATAATGACAAAACGCGAGGAAATCGCCGGTGTGACTTCTCAAGAACCGCACGTCCCGTGTGTGGATATCTTCAGTATGTGAAGAGGGAGATAAAGTGCATGAGTTCCTCACGAGGAGCAGCCAGTGACAGGTGTAGATGCATCAGTGCCCTGAGAGTTAAATATCAGGATCCTGCCTCTCCTCGTCAGCGCATTCAGATTGGCTGAGTGCATGAGACTCAAGGAAGAGCGACTCAAAGATACTCGGCTTGGAATGTCAGTGCAGTTCCCTCATGTGAAGACAGAGGGCGCGTGCGCATTAGACCGACGTTATTAGTGATAGGTAGCAGTAACACTATTCTCATTAATGCAAAACTATTATATACATCAGTAGATACTATATGCATTTTGAAAAAAACAATAAAATGAAAATCATGTCATTTATTCACCCTAACTGAACAACAACAACGACACAAGGGTGAGTCAATCATGTTTGTTAATGTTATTCATGAAAGGTTTCAGTGTCTGGTGTTATGGGTTTTTATCTGTCATTACCTGAGCTTTCAAGCTCAGCGTTTACGTTTTTAAGGCCAACAAGCCTATATGCAAGAGCTCTCCATAAACGCTGAGACTTCTGCTTGGGCAATTAGGATTCAAATCAGTTTATAGACAATTTGAATATAATTTCCCAAACTGATAGTTGAACAGATTTGGAAAGATTAGCCTCATAAGAAGAGGATGGAAAACCAAAGCAATCGTCAGTATGGTGCCGAAATGTAAACGTTTTCATCAGAACAATGGCAGGATTTTATCACCGCCATACACTACTTGATTAAGAGTTATGAAATTGATATGGCGGTCTGCCATGGTTTATGTCTGGGGCATGTATTTTGATGAGAAAGCATTTATCTTCTTTGCTTTGTCTTAAGGATTATTACTGACTCAAAGCAAGCAGATGAAAAATGATGTCTCAAAATTAATTAAAGTTTAACATAGAGCCCTGGGGGCTCTCAGCAGCGGCAATCCACCTGTCACTCAAGTGGCCACGCCCTTAATTATGTTAATTATATATTTTAAACGGATGAGTTATAAAAACATTTTCACCCCCTCACAGCTGTCATGAAGGGCAAAATTAGCTATATACACCAAAAAAAAAAAAAGTATTTTTATTAAATCTGATTTAAATGTTAAATTTAGAAAAAAAATAATGGGGGAAAAAAATCTATGCACTTATGCCAGAAACGCGGGTGTTTCTTCAACTACTTTATAAAAACTAACAGTTTGTTATGAAGGTCACATTAAAATGAAAAAAAAAAAAACTGCATTTTTACATAATGTAGGGGGAGAAATGAATATGGTTTCAGAAAACACTCTTGTTAACAGAACACCATCTCTAAACTGTAGTAATATCATATAGAGTTCTCAGTGGGAAAATATGAAAAGACTCACAGATTACATAAAGAGAGCTGTATGTAAGTGTTATAGTTTTGTATGTATTCTCGGTTGACACTCTGTCATGCCAGTGCAGTCTGAGCTCATCTTGGAGGATAAAACTCCTAAATTTCCTATATATAGAACACTTTTATGAATACAGCATGAGAGTAAAATAAATCAGGGTTATTTGTAGGCCAGGACCCCTTTGTTCAACTGCTAAATGTCTTTAAATGAACGTTTCCATATTTTGCACTGTCCTCCTTAATGTAAGCCAATTTCAGCTCCTTTTCAAGATATAACAAAGGATCTGGAGCAGTAAAGATGTTATCCTTTCTGCTTCTATCCTTTGCGTTTATGCAAATCTGACGTGATCCGGGAAATCTGAGAGCTTGTAAGAACACGCCATTGTGTTTATTATGAATCAGACAGTAGAGTGCTTCATTAATAGCTGGCCAAAGGGAGTGTAACAAAAGGAGAGCACCTTTTGTCCTTCTCATCTTTTGACATCCTCTCCTCATCATAACCTGCGTATTAAACACGTTTACCATGCCAACCGGCTTGTGATATTGTCCATGTTGTGAAGCTTTCAGTTGGTGAGTCACAAGCCAAAATTGGGCCAGAGGTCCGTTCTGTTTAGACAGAAGGAAAACAACAACAAAAACAATGCTTCATGTAAATAATAAAATGCAACTAATCCTATTAATATCATTAGGATAGAAAAGGAATAGTTAATCCAAAAATGAAAATAGACTGGAAATGTACTTTTTGAAGTTTGTTTCTTCATCTGAACAGATTTGGAGAAATTTAGCATTACGTCACTTGCTGACCAATGGATCCTCTGCAGCGAATGGGTGCCGTCAGACTTAGAGTCTTAACAGCTGATGTAAGCATCACAATAACTTTGATTGTTTTTAACCTCAAACCATCGCATCCAACTAAAAAGAATGCATACAATTGCTTTTTCCAGTGAAGGTTTAGTGAAAGTCATCTCGTCTGAATCAGGAGAGAAAAATGCACAGATCAAGCATTGTTTAAAAGTTAAAACAGTTTCTAAACAAATATGTCATTTGTATTTTGATGTGAGACAACATCAGGGACTTTTTCACAGGAGGAGTGATTATTATGGATTATGAACTCATATTTTGGCCATGAAGCGATGGTTTAAAATTGAAATGCTAAATTAAATTACATTTAAATTTTAAAAGACACAGCTTTTTACGTTACAAGATGTGGATTATTGTGATGTTTTTATCAGCTAGTTGGACTCTCACTCTGACGGCACCCATTCACTGCAGAGCATCCATTGCTGAGCAAGTGAAAACTCAATACTTTCAGGACACTTTTTTTATTCATTTATTTTATTATGATCAACAATTTTAGTACTTTTTCAAAGTTAAACCTGGGTGCTGAAGCACAATAACATGATAAACACTGCTTAAAAGCACAAAGGTGCTACCCTCTTTGTGACTGAGCTGGGGAAAAAAATTATGAAATGAATTCCAGTGTCTCGCAACAGTTTGAAGGCAAACAAAGTGTCAGCATTTCACAACTCTGCCTCAAATTGATTAACATTCCTTTTTGTCAAGATTATTCATGGCAGCGCATTTTTCAGTGCAGGCTAAAATACAGTGTTGAGGGGGTGTACCAGCCTAAATAAAGCATTGTAATCATCCTAGCTGTTGCAACACAATTTCATTACCTCTCAAACAGGTCTGTGAAAAACGCAAACACACGCATTTCCTTGAAGCCTCCGACAAGGAACATGAACGTTTTTTGTAAACCCGGAATGCTGATGAGCCAGTCGGATGAGCTTGTCGGCAGAACTGACCATTTTTATTAGATATAAGCTCATGGATATCTTTTATATTCTGGGTTTGGATAGCAGACTCTGGTTCCTGTGATGCCCAAAAGAGCAATGTAAAGTCATCCGTCACTACATTCTTGACATAAAGTAGTATTAAAAGAAGCACAACGTCATTCATTTAGATTCATATACCAGTTTTATGGGAGCAAAAGGGGTTTCTACAACTTAAAATCCCGCGAGGAAAATAAAACAGGTTTTCTGACGAGATAACTAGAAAATGTGAGTAGCGCTTGCCTAAGCAAACAAGCCACCGCCACTATGCTGGAGTGCTGTGGGTGGTTGTCAGAATGCTGTAGTAATGTGGTTTCTTAGCTTGTTAGCATGGTTTCTAGCATGTCGCTATGTTAGGATTGCTAGAATGTACCGGATGGTTGCTAGGGCAGAGCTACAAGATTGATAAGAAGATCTGAGTGGCTTTAGCGTATTGCTAGCATGATTTAGATGGCTGCTTGTGCAACGATTTGTGGATGCTAATGTATTCTTGGTAGTTTCTTACCAGCAAAAGTAAAAAAAAAAGGCTTTTTCCATGTGTTTATGATATTCTCTTCCTTTGATATGGCTAGAATCCCCTCTTCAGTGTAAGGTACGGTCACAAAATTTTGACCCAATTTACAGTTTGGACGAGTCAATGCTATTTGCCAAAAACCAGCCCTTATGTAACAAAAATATATGGGAATTTACTTCAAAATATAATGCGATATATTAAATTGTTCAGCTTATGCTACTGTAAACTAGCTATATTTATATTATGGGGAATGAAAGGTTCATATTTTGGTTTTGGGAGTCCCCAACAACAGGATGACATGCATGCAAGGTCAAAAAACACTTTCATTGTCTTATAATATGCATTTATTTTTACCTTACTTGCTCAACGACTCCCAAACGATTCGCTCAAGGATTCGTTTTTCCAAACCCCTGCTTTGCGTGACGCTAATCTGCGGTGATTGGTCTAATTTTAATGTCATCTCGCCTGTAACGCCTGATAAAGCGGTGTTTGTGAGCGCAGTGCTGCTTTGTGTACAGCTTTACCGGGGAAACCGCTATTTTACCGCTCCAGAAGCGGCACCTAGTGGCAAAGAATGCATTTGCATTTTCATTCAGACCAA